TTTGACAGAGTTTCGCTCTTGTTACCCAGGCTGGAGTGCAATGGCGCGATCTCGGCTCACCGCAACCTCCGCCTCCTGGGTTCAGGCAATTCTCCTGCCTCAGCCTCCTGAGTAGCTGGGATTACAGGCACGCGCCACCATGCCCAGCTAATTTTTTGTATTTCTTAGTAGAGACGGGGTTTCACCGTGTTGACCAGGATGGTCTCGATCTCTCGACCTCGTGATCCACCCGCCTCGGCCTCCCAAAGTGCTGGGATTACAGGTTTGAGCCACCGCGCCCGGCCTGAGCCTATTCATGTTTTAAGCACTATGTTCTAGACACAGACCTGCTTAATGGAGTTTGGAGCTTACTTGGTAGAGCAAACATGTAAGTTAATAATAGAATTAGAGGCAGAGGGAGCAACACAGGGAGCCAGTGACAGAGAATCAGTCCATGTGACAGGCTTTGGGCTAGTGAAAAAGCAGGAGGTGCCAGGTAGAAGCTGATCTGCTTGGTTCTCATTGGCGTCCCCCGTTCTGAGCACAGGATTGTTCCTGGAAGAGAATTGACACTGAGGCAGAGGTCAGACACCATGGCCCTCAATAGAGGGGATGACGAAAGGAGACGCAAAACCTCAGATGAGTCCATACCCAGGCTTCTCCAAAAAGTTATTGGAGAGAAGGGGCCCAAACCATGATTCATCCCAAGTCCCAAAGTCATAAATTTTATTTCACCTGGTTGGAAAGTGAGATGCTTGGATTGGGCCTGAAAATTAGGCAAGACAGAATGGAACGCAACAACCACAAAGGTAGTTAATTTATTTTCAATAAAATTTAGGAAAGAAATACAGCTTTAATTAGGGACCCTGGGTACCATTTGGAAATTTACTGACTCTGGGTGTTCAGCCTCTGTCTCCACTACAGATATCACTTCATTCTCTTGAACTCACCCTTCCTCTCTATCTTCAACTCTACAAGAAAATATATCCACGCCAACATCAGAACATGCCCTGGTGTCCTGTGGCAAGAACTTGTATGCTCAGCTCCCTCTTAAACTTATTTCTGACACTCACTTGCTGGGTGACATTTAATCAGTACCTGCACTTCTCTGGGCCTTATGATTCTTATCTATAAAATGAAATGGGGCTTGATGGCCCTTCCACCAAGATATTCCAGTTTTCACTCCCGCCTGGGCTGAGTTTGTGAGAATATGGGAAATAAAATAAGTTAAACAGTACTGCATAGGACATCTTACTTGTCCATTAGAAATTCTAGCCAGGCACAGTGGCTCACGCCTGTAATCCCAACATGTTGGGAGGCTTAGGTGGGCGAGTTGCTTGAGGGCAGGAGGTGGAGACCAACCTGGCCAACGGGGCGATACCCAATCTTGACTAAAAATACAAAAATTAGCCGTGCATGATTACAGGTGCATGCCTGTAATCCCAGCTACTCGGGAGGCTGAAGCACGAATTGCTTGAACCAGGGAGGTGGAGGTTTCAGTGAGCCAAGATTGTGCCACTGCACTCCAGCCTGGGTGACAGAGCAAGACTGTCTTTAAAAAGAAGAAAAGAAAAGAAGAGAAGAGAGAAGAAAAGAAAAAAAGAAATTTGATTCACTAGTCTCTTTAAGTGAGATTGTGAAGTTGGTGGAATGGGATTCTTACGGGGGCTCTGCCTCCGATCCTAAATTTTGTGACCATACAGTCACTCTCTGATGATAAGGCTGTCTTTGGCCTCTGTCTGTCATGTAGGAAAGCTTGGAGAACAAACTTGGCCCAAAAGGGCAACACCTAGTTAGAGAAGAAAATGGGAGCCCTAGGGATAACATTTACTCTGTGAAGAGTGTCTTTCTCCTTCCCAGGACTGGCTGAGTGGCCGGTGTAGATTCTGTGGCTATAGGAAGGAGAGCTGCCCACATTCTCCAGCACCTCTTTCCCACCGCTCCTCTACTAGCCCAGTTAGAATCCCGAAACTCTGCTGTGTTACTGAACTTTATTCCACTGTAGTCTCTCAGGCAAATCCCTTTACTTCATAGTTCCTTAGACAACAAGGAGCTGGGGTTGATGGTTGAGGCTCCCTCTAAGCTTTGATAGCCTTTCTTGCTCTGAAAGCAACACAACGTTGAAAAACACTCTCTGAAGACTCTGCTGTCAGCCTAATTCCTCCTCTACACCCTGCTCTGTGGCAACATCTTTATTCTTTGGTCTTGGTCAAAGAATATGAGCGAACCAAAGATAAAATAAAAGAGAGAAGGATGGGAGGAAACTACGGGAGAGGGAGAAAGGAACACAGAGACCACGGGAAAGAGAAACAGACACAGGCGCAGAGAGGCACCGATAAACGATGAGATACCAAGAGACCAACAGAGACACATTGTCAGAGACAAGCAGAGGGGTGTGCTAGTAAGTGTGCACGTACGCTGGAAAATGAATGAAGAACGAGGACACTGCACTGCTCTCCAAGTTATCAAGATGAAGACCCATGATGGTGGCATTCCCTCTGAAGGTAGCCTGGAAAGTGGGAGACATGCTTTGCCCACTCCCCAGGGTTGACTAGAGCCCCCAGCCCAGTGCAGCCCAGGGGTGTAAGGATCAAGATCCATTCAATAAAGAGACCCTTCCTCCCAAGCTGTGAGCTGGGTGGGGGGAGGGAGTTAGTTCCATTTGTGACCTTGGGAACTTAGTGTTCCCAGCAAGAAAGGGAGTGGCTGGCTTGTCTCCAGTTCTTATATCCAAGGTGCTGGCTACTGAAGGAATAGGCTGGGCCACAGCAGCTGAGCTTCCAAATTCTGGAACCACAAGAAAGGCCAGTCTCTCTTCAGCATGGGATCTTCTGGACTTTTGAGCCTCTTGGTGCTATTCATCTTCTTAGTGAATGTCCAGGGACCTGGTCTGACTGATTGGTTATTTGCCAGTAAGTATTGGGCCTCGGTCCTTGCCCTAGAGAGAGGGGAGTTTGCTGGGAGGAAGGATCAGGGAACAACTCTTCAGATCCGGGTTGCTTTCCACCCATCTTAGCCAGGTCCCAGGTTGGGAGAGGAGAGAGATATTTGTAAGCTCCCTCCTGTGGAAGATCCCTTCTGGGAATGCAGAAACCCTTACTTAGGCAATCCCCACTTTCAGCCCCTTTGAAGTGGAGAGTCTTTATCAAGGAGGTGGAAGAGAGTCACAGAATCTAGCATTTAGGGTAGGTGCTACAGGAATCCACGAAACCAAGAGACCTTCTCCTTACCCCACAAGCAAAACAGGCCCCTTTCTTGAGCCGCCATCTCTATCAACTCCTGGTTCTTTCAAATGTAGTCCCATAAAGGGTCCCTGTATCCCTAAGGGTTCCCTAACTTTGAGATAAAAGACAGCGTGCAGAAGTCCCTTTAAACTTAAGACGCTAATGTTCCATGACTATAATGTAACAATGATCATCGTTATCATTTGCTGAACACTCAGGAAGTAAGGATTTCTGAAAAGGGATTTCTAAAACAACAGAGGGGTCTGGAGTCAGATTTGGGGGGTTCAAATCTTGGTAGCCATGTAATCTTGGACAAGTTACTTAAATTTCGTGGGCCTCAGTTTCCGCATCTGTAAAATGAGGATATTAACAGAACTTCCTTCATAGAGTGATTATCAAGGTTGAATGAGATCATACATTTTAAATGCTTAGAAGAGTGCTCGGCTTATGGTAAGTACTTAGCAAATGTTAGTTAATATGACTGCGTATCTGTTACTATGATTAGAGCTTTATATACTTTGTCTCATCGCTTTCTCACAACTCCTTAAGGGCAAAACGATTTTACAGTTGATGAAACCAAGGTTCAGAGAGGGTCAGAATTCAGGCCAAGAGTAAGAATTCAAAATCTAAACTGGCTCCTGGGTAAGTGATATTAATCGCTGTATAATATCTCCACCTAGAGGAACTTCCAAACATTGATTCTTCAACAAAGCCAAAAACATCACGTCAGCTTAATCCAGTGGCCTGCAATGGGGCGATTTTGCCTTCCAGGGGAACTTTGCAGTGCGTGGAGACATTTTTGGTTGTTACAACCAGCGGGTGCTACTGGGGTCTGTTGGAAAGAGGCCTGGGATGCTGCTAAACATCCTACAATGCCCAGTTCAGCCCCCCAAACAAAGAATTATCCAGCCCAAATATCACTGGTGTTTGAGATGGGATGGAGCTGGGGGGATGGGAAGAGAGGGAGGAGTGGTCAGGAGGGAGCGGGGTGTAGGCAGTAGGGAAGTGAGTGAGGCCGCCTTGAGGAAGAGAACTCCTGGAAGGGAGCAAAGTGGAAACAAACTTCCCTGACTCTCCAGAATTGCCTTGTGTCTGGCAAAGCGGAGAGACGCTGTGCTCTCCAAGGCTCACGGGTGTAAAACTGCTCCCTCCCTAGAGAGATGTCCCAGAATCAAAGAAGAATGTGCATTCAAAGAAAGGGATGTGTGTACAAAGGACAGACAATGCCAGGACAACAAGAAGTGTTGTGTCTTCAGCTGTGGAAAAAAATGTTTTGATGTCACACAAGGTAATATTCAGAGCCTCAGAATAACCAACCCCTCCCCCCCATATCCTCACCTTCTGCCTTCCTGGGCTGGCTTTGTGCCCTTGTCGCTGAGGGCTGGTCTCCGGCAAAATTGCTGGACTTGGAAGACCTGCGATTTAGATTCATTACTGTGCCAAATATGGTGTGTGACGATAGTAATGACCTTATCCTATCAAGTAATATTTGAGACTCAGTTTCAAACATTACTTGATAGGATAAGGTCATTCTTATCTTCACCAAAACAAATGAGTGGTGAGGGAGTGGGATTGAAACAGATATTTTTTGGCTATTTGTTTACCTGTCACTCTTATAATTTTTTTGAGCCTCCAGGTGGCCATAGTTGCCCTAACATATACCAACATTGTTGCTGCAAGTGATAAATTAAGCAATTTATATTTCCTAGCTCTTTTGTATGTAGTGACCACCTCTCTGCCTACACAAATCCAACTTTGCACCAAAATACCTCTCCTGACCACTCCAGAACAGAGGGTTTTTCCCTTTCCGCTGCATCTTAATTTCATGCCCATCTCCCTGGGATGCAAAAAGACTATCAAAGATTCTTTTTTCATTCATTTAACAAATATTTGTTGAGTGCCTCTGAGACCCAATTTAGGATTCGATCTGCTCAGCGTGGTCAGGAAGGTTGGGATTGCCTCCTTTGAGAAAGCGAATCTGGAGCTGAGTTGAGAAAGATGGGTAATGTTTTAGGCAAAAAGTGGTGGAAGGGTTTTCCAAGCACAGGAGTAGCATCCACAAGGCTCAATGGTGGGGCCTGGGGAGGCCAGAATGCAGAGTGAACACGAGCATGGTACAAGGAAAACAGATCCTGGATGGGCAGAGATCAAACAACTCAGGTACGGTGGGCCGGATGAAAGAGTCTTGTCTCGATCCTAAGGGCCATGGCAATCCACCAAGGTGGGCCAGTCACATGACCAGGTTCACACTACATCTATAGAGGTTAAAATAGGAGGAGCAGAGTGTCTTAAAGGACTTCAGGATGATAGAAGTGGTGGCCAGAACTAGAGGTAGCTGAGGGGATGAAGAAGAGTAGGGTGTGCTTGAAAGGTATATGGGAGGTAAAGTAAACAGGACTTGACAGAAGTAGAGTGGGCAGGCCGGAGGCTAAGTCACTCACATGCCAGCAGGTAAGGATTCTGAATGCAGACATCCTGAGTTCAACTCTTACCTCCGGTTTGTACCAGTCTTTTTGTCTTGGATAAATTAACGACTTTCCCTCACTGTGCCTCAGTTTCCTCAGATAATAAAGGGATCAGTGTAAAAAGTTATTTTGAGGATCAGATAAATTGATCTGCATGATGTGCTTACAGCAATGACTGGTACATAATAGCCACCTGATAACCTATTCTCTTGTTTGTGATTCTTGGCTGGGGGCTCCTAAATAGCAGAGATCATGCCTTTTCTCTGTTCCTAGAAGCATATGAGCACATAAATAAATAAAAAATGAATGCACAAGATTCTGAAGCAAGGTGTGGTGGTGAGGGATATAGAATAGAGTCAAGGAAGACATCACAGCAGTCGATGTCTGAGAAAGGTTTTGAAGGAAGAAGAGGAGTGTCACTGTGAGCAGTGCAAAGGGATAGAGGTATGGGGTAGTGTGTTGAATATTGCTGAAGCATGTAGCTCGGAGGGTTCTGTGGCAGGGGAGGAGGCCAGCATCACAGTAGGAGCCAGGCAATGAAGGGCCTTGTGGATCATGTGAGGACATGGTCATGAAGTCGAGGTAGGTCCTATCTGTGGAATGACATGATGAGCCTGGCTTTCAGATCCATCAGATCCTTCTCTCTGGTGGGAAGCATAAAGGATTGATTGGAGGGGCCAGGACTGGAGGCAGGGGGATCAATCTGAGGTTATCTCAACAGCCCAGGCATGAGACACTGAGGCTTATATTAAAGAGACTGGCAGAGAGGTGAACTATTAGGAGGTAAAAATCAACAGGACCTAATTGCTCAGCAGTGATTTACTCATATGGAACTGGGTAAGCATAATTTAGTTGGGACCTGTATTTGCTTGCTAAAGTTGCTAGAACAAAGTACCATTGACTGGGTGGCTTAAACAACAGAAATGTGTGGTCTCACAGTTCCTCAGAAGTCCGAGGTCAAGGTGTCAGCACGGTTGGTTCCTTGTCGGGGTTATGGGGAAGAAGCACGTTCCATTCCTCTCCCCTAGCTTCTGGTGGTTTGAAGGCAATCTTTGGTGCTCCTTGGCTTATAGACACATCACCCCAATCTCTGCCTTCACATTCATGTGGTGTTCTTCCAGTGTGTATGCCTCCGTCCAAATTTACCTGTTTTTTTTTTTTTTTTTTTTTTTTTTGTGAGACAGAGTTTCACTCATGTTACCCAGGCTGGAGTGCAATGGCACGATCTCGGCTCACCGCAACCTCCGCCTCCTGGGTTCAGGCAATTCTCCTGCCTCAGCCTCCTGAGTAGCTGGGATTACAGGCACGTACCACCATGCCCAGCTAATTTTTTGTATTTTTGGTAGAGACGGGGTTTCACCATGTTGACCAGGATGGTCTCGATCTCTTGACCTCGTGATCCACCCACCACGGCCTCCCAAAGTGCTGGGATTACCTGTTTTTATAAGGACATCAGTCATACCAGTACAGAGGCCCACCCTATTTTAGTCTGACCCCATTTTAACTAATTACACCTGCAACAACACTATCTCCAGGGATACAGCTGCCCACTCTGGGGTCTCCTTGCAAATGTGTACAATATTTCAGTGGAGCTGTACACCTGCTGTGTGACAAGGGAAAAGGAGCCTATTCCAGTTTCATCTATAGTGGTTTTCAGGGAGAATAATAACATCTGTTCATTTCTGGAGTAGGCACTCTGAGTTTTCAACTCTGGAGTCTCTCTGCAGATGTATGCGAAATGCCAAAGGAAACTGGTCCCTGCATGGCTTTTTTCCGTCGTTGGTGGTATGACAAGAAAAATGATACTTGCTCCATCTTTATCTATGGCGGCTGCCAGGGAAACAATAACAACTTCCAATCCAAAACCAACTGCCTGAACACCTGCAAGAAAAAACGTGAGTCCTGGGCGCCCCGCTCCTTCATCTTCTCCAGTGCCAGGCTGGGAGGTCTGGGTGTTGGCTGGTCCATTCCAGGACAGCTACATCTTTGGCAGATCTGGTGCTGACAGAACCAGCTCCAATCAGGAGATCAGAATGCACCTGGCAAAGGGGTAAGACAAAGTTACTTTCTGGGAACTGAGGATGAGAGGGATGTAGAAGTAATCAATGTTGGCGAGTATGAGGGGAGTTAGGAGGGGTAGAGGATGGGTACAGAAGTGGTGAAATCTCAGAGACGAACTGCAGAAGAGGCACAGGATGTTAAACCTAGATAGTTGACCAACCAACCCTTCCAAGCCATCAATGCTCTCAATACAACTCTTTGCCAGCAATTCCTATTCATTTGTCCTTGAAGGAGATGGAGAACTCCCCAAAGCAAACCCACTTCTTTTTAGTATCTTTCTGTGAAAAGATGTATAAACGTAACTTCAGCCTCCAAAGATAAGCTGAACCCAAGATGCTCAACTGTTTCTGTCCTACGTTCTCTACAGGCGTTCCCTGAATGGATAAGGATGCACTGGAAGAACCACCAGCATGTGACTCATGCTCTGAGGACTGTCCGTGTACGTGACCGATGCTCTAGATTGACTTCCAGTTTCACTCTCAGCATTCCGAGATCTTGGCCTTTCCCAAAACAGAACCCCTGCATCTACCTCCTCTTCCCCAGACTTTGCCTCTTTTGATGCACAATATCCTTCTGTTTTGATTTCATCCTTATGTCCCCTTTATCTCCAACTTCTAGAGCTCCCAGTTTATACTGTGTCACTCTCAATTTTTTCCAATAAAGTACTTGATGAAGTCCTGTGCCTCTGAGGCTGAGTAATTGACATCTTTTTGGCACATTGCACTTGTAGAGTAAGGGATCGTTGAGGCTTCTGGTGATACCATTCAAGGGAGTAAAGACAATCAGAACTTTGAAGAGTTGTGAGCTCCAGGGATACTGTTATTGTTATATACCTCTGTTTCTATAAAAGATTGTAAAATTCTTTTTAGGCAAGGGCCCAAGGACAATGACTTAGTTTGGATCCTCTAGAAATGAACCCTTGGAAAAGGGCATGGGTGCAGGTAGTTTGTTTGGGAGACCTCCCAAGACATACAGGATGGGGGAGTGGGATGAGTAATTCAGGGAAGAGAGAGGAGTCTATTATGAGCTGGTTATCACTGTGGCTCAGTCCTACTGGGGACCTTTTAAAGAATCATGTAAAACAGGCTTCCACATTTTCTTTTTAAAAATTATTTTATTTTATTTTAAGTTCTAGGATACATGTGCAGGACCTGCAGGTTTGTTACACAGGTAAGTGTGTGGCATGGTGGTTTGCTACACCTATCAAACCATCACCTGGGTATTAAGCCCACATGCCCCTGATGCTTTCCCTACCCCTGCCCCTTCAACAGGCCACAGTGTATGTTGTTCCCCTTCCAATGTCCATGTGTTCTCATTGTTCAGCTCCCACTTACAAGTGAGAACTGGCAGTGTTTAGTTTTCTGTTCCTGTGTTAGGTTGCTGAGGATAATGGCGTCCAGCTTTATCCATGTCCCTGCAAAGGATGTGAACTCATTCCTTTTTATGGCTGAGTAGTATTCCATGGTATATATGTACTACATTTTCTTTATCCAGTCTATCATTGATGGACATTTGGGTTGATTCCATATCTTTGCTATTGTAAATAGTGCTGCAACGAATATATGCATACATGTATCTTTATAACAGAATGATTTATATTCTTTTGGGTATATACCCAGTAACGAGATTGCTGGGTCAAATGGTATTTCCAGTTCTAAATCTTTAAGGAATCATCACACTGTCTTCCACAATGGTTGAACTAATTTACATTCTTGCCAACAGTGTAAAAGCATTCGTATTTCTCCACAGCTTTGCGAGCATCTGTTGTTTCTTGACGTTTTAATAATCACCATTCTGACTGGCATGAGATGGTACCTCATTGTGGTTTTGATTTGCATTTCTCTGATGATCAGTGATGCTGAGCTTTTTTTCACGTTTGTTGACTGCATAAATGTCTTCTTTTGAGAAGTGTCTGTTCATGTTCTTTGCCCACTTTTTGATGTTTTTTTTTCTTGTAAATTTGTTTAAGTTCCTTAAAGATTCTGGATATCAGATCACAAATTTTCTTAATCTATCTCCTGTGATGGGAAGCTAAGCTATTTGTCCACTGACTCCCAATGCCCACTGGATGTCAGAGATGCTAAATCCCTCACTCTTTCAGACTTTTATGCATACAAGCTATACAAGCTCCCAAGGGGCCAGAGAAAACCCACAGCAGAAAAGTAGTGACTAATTTTGGAGGCAGGAGGCTGTCAATGTGCATTGGCTATTATTCAGCCATAAACAGGAATTAATATCTCACTCACCACTGATGACATGCCTTGCTGCACACAGACACCCTGCTGCCATCCTGCAGAAATGTTTTCATTACCCACAGTCCTTTGCCAGATGGGATTGATGCCCAGGTACCTGGCTCCTCACTTCACTCGGGCCTATACCAAGGATATAAAATTTGGTGCAGATGCTCAAACCTTAATGCTTCAAGGTGTAACTTTTTATCCAATGCTATAGCTGCGACAACAGGGACAAAGTGAGAACAGATTTAGAGTAGTCCCAAAGTAACAAAATATGTTATCGATTGTTGCAAAATCAACTGACTTAAAGAATAAATATAACTGATCTTTACATACAAAAGAAGAGAGAGGCAAGTGAAAGGCAGGGAGAAAGATTCAGACAGACAGACTCACTGAAAGAGAGAAAAAGACAGGCACAGAGTAAAAAACATAAAGAGATACAAAAAAGGGAAGAAACAGTGAGAAAAAGAAAACAAGAATAGACGTGTCAGGAGAAGAGTGAAATTCGAAAGAAGTAAGAGAACTAGCATACTCTTAACCTTCAAATGCCCCCTGGGAAATGGCAGACTCTCGAGTTAAACAGCCTCTTCTGCTAAGGGAGCCTAGAAAGCTCAAGACAAGATGTGCCCTCTTTCCCTGGTAGGCCAGAGAGCCTCCAATTGCTGAGAATTGGAAACCGCCTATCAAGCCCCACCTTCCCCCAGGCTAGGTACCAGCTAGTCGCACTCGTGGCCTCAGGGATCTGATGTTCCTGATGAAGGGAATCTGCCTGGCTTGTCTCCAGGGCTGTCTCTTGGAGTGCTGAGCCACACCAGTGCAGGCAAAGTGCAGAGGTAGGAGCCGCTGAGCAGCCGTTCTTAGTTTTGGTGCCATCAGCCAGGACAGTACTTCCTAACATGGGACTCTCAGGATTTCTGCCAATCCTGATACCATTCATCCTTCTAGGGGACATCCAGGGACCTGGGCATGCTGAAGGGTCTTTTTGGGGTAAGTATTGGGAACTCAGTCCTTGCAGTGGAGAAAGGAAACTCAGCGAGAAGGAAGGAACAAAGAATAATTTTGCAGATGAGGAATTATTTTCTCCATCTCTGCCTGGAGTTCCAGGTGGGAAATAGGGGAGCTATTTGTAGTCTCTCGGTAAGAGACTCACTTGGTGAATATAGGCACCTGAATCTGGGGCAACTGACTCCTTGCAGTCATTCCAAAGAGTTCTTCCTGGAGGTTTCTGGACCTAGAACTCATGAAATGGAATAAGAAGGAGTGGTGAGCCCAAGGAAGTTTCCCGTAAGGAAAACAGGCCATTCCCTACAATACCACCTGTGTCAGCTTCCAAATGTTCTCCCTGCAGCCCCCCACACCCATACTCACAGAGGACCCTAGCCTGTGGGATAAAGAATGGTCTCCAGAAGTCCCTTGGAATGCTGAAATGTGAAGACCCACAATTAGCAGCTAAATATACTGAGCACTGAAAATTAGTGGTTGAAAGTGAGCACTCAGGAGCCACACATTGCAGGTTCAAATCCTGGCTCTGCCCATGAGTAGCTGCATGACCTTGGCAAATTCATATAATCCCCTTATGCTTCCAATTTCTCTGTTTACAAAATGTGAATATTAACAGTACTTACCCATAAATTTGTAATGAGGATTAAGGAGAAAAGGCCAGCACACAGTAGGGGCTTCATCCATATTACTCACTGTTATGTTATGTTATATTCCCCAGGCAGTTTGACAATGGCTTTTCAAACTGTGTTGCATCAGTCTTCAAAGCAACCCTATGGACAAATGAGAAAATCAGGGCTCAGAGAGAGTGCCTGGCACATCAAGGGTTGCTCAGAATTCAGAAGGCCAGCTCTCTGATGCCAGAAATGTTCATCTCAATAATTGAGAGTCATAGCACCTCCTGGGGGAGCAACCAAGCATAGCAATGCTGAGTGACTAGAACAGTCTCAGAGGAATGCGTCTTTCTCTCAGGAACCTCATAGATGGTGTGGGTGGAGTGTAGGGGTTGGTTTAGGGATCTGATGGTGAGTTGTTATGGGGTTGGGGATGTGAGCAGTTTTGTGAAATTCCTGAGCCGCCTGAGGGCCACTACCTTCTGGGGACAGGTGGAGTGGAAACAATGTTTTCTAACTCTGCACTGGTGCCCTGGGCCTGGGGAGGTGGAGCACTGGCTCCTTTAAGGCCTCGAAGGAATATATCTTCCCCTCTTTTAGGTTCATGTCCCAAAATCCGAGTGAGATGCCCAATGGATGAAATAGATCAGTGTACCCAACACAGCGAATGCCCGAAAGACATGAAGTGTTGCATGTACAGCTGTGGAAATAAATGTGTAGCTCTCAAAGAAGGTAACTCAGATACTTTCTGAATTACCCAATGTCCTCATCTCCTGCCCCCACCTGCACTGCACTAACTCTCCTGGTTCACTGATGGCTGGTCTCTGACCAAGAGTCTAGGTATGTCTTCTACTTGACACAAATCTATCAGTCCTGGACTTGGGAGACATGGATTTTGTTTCATTTCTTCCCCTATTTTGGTATGTGATGTGAACAATGTAGTTTTCCTTTCTGGGCCTCAGTTTTCCTATCCATAGGACAGGTGTTGATATTGGACCACATGGTCTCTTGGCTACTCTTCAGTGATTCTCGAGATGCCAAGTAGTCACTGAAGTCTCATCAAATGCCAACATTGTGTCAGGTTATATGTTAGCTATACGAGATAAGTGTATAATATGTATTTCCTGGTTTTTTTCTCCAGGCTTCTCTGTCTATATAAATCCAGGATGCCCTCCTTGACCACCTTAGACTGCCCACACTCTTTCTTCTCTGCCCATATTATTGGGCTCTAAAGAAGACGATCAAGGACTATTCATCCATTGTATTCATTCAACAAATATTGATTGGTTTCCTGACACCTGTGATGAGTTCCACTTGCTCATTGTGGCCAGGAAGATCAGAAAAGGTTTTTCTGGGAAAGGGGTCCATGATTTAAGATCTGAAAGATGAGTACTTAGACCAAAAAAATGGGACGAAATAGCCTTTCAGGCACAGGTAATAGCATGTGCAAGGCTCTGTGGCAAGAGGCAGCATGTTCAGGCCTAGAAAGACTGGAAAGCAGAGAGTGAGGAAGAGATGAGGAAGCTGGTGGTGTATATTCAGGGCAACTTGAATCTGCACACCTAGGCGACCATCCTCAAGTTTTGGGCTCAAATAAACTCTCTACTTAATTATATGTTCTGAATCTTGTTACTTAAGGTTGACATGCCTATCAAGACAATAACTAGGTTTTCAGTGCTTTGACAAAACGTTGGATGTGTGGCCTTCTGGCCAAGCACCTGTGGTTTCATATTGTTCAAGCATTTGTTGCATTCCTAGGGATTGCAGCTCTATATAAGCTCACTGTTGCTGAACCAAGAAATGAGGCATACACAGATTTTGACAGAAATTGTAATTCTAGAACAGATTTTGAAGAGATGAGGAAGGCTGGTGTCTTTCAGAGTGCAAAGTGACTTTGGAATTGAAAGAATTTCTCTGGGTTGAAGTTTCTCATTGACTTGTGTTCTTGAACCATGAAGCATGAATATGTGGGCTGAGGAATAGTTTCTCTTGATAAATAAACAATTAACAAATTTTAAAAAGAGAGAAAGATGAAGCTGGGCTAATGGGAGAAGGAGGACAGGTAAGGGGTCTGATCTTGATCCCAAAAGCAATGGATTAACCTATGTTCAAATCCTTTACCAACTGTGTGGCTTCAGGAAAGTTACTTGGCCTCTTTAAACCTTACTTTCCTCATCTGCATAATTAGAACGATAAGAGGACCTACTTTACAAGATTAAATGTTAATAGATGTCAACTACTAAGAATAGTGCCTGACTCTAATCGATGCTATAATTATTGTTTTGTCGTGTTTCAGACTATGAGGTTCTAAAGAACTCTATTTGTACCTCATAGCACTATGGGCAAAATATTTGCTCAATAAATGCTTCTTTAAGACGACAGTAGATTTGGGTTTTGGGTTTTTTTTTTTTTTGTGAATACTCATGAAGCATCCTTTCTATGCCAAATTACCCGTGAGAAACTGCTTTATCAAGATGGCATAAGATGCGATCCCCTCTCAAAAACCTCACATTCTCATGGAGGAGTCAGAAAACATGAACAAGAAAGTAAATGGAAATGATAAATGTGTGTGTAAGACTGAGAAGCAGTAAAGAAAAGCAAGGAGTAAAGAATGAATCCAGGAAAGACTGCAGAAAAGAGCCGATGTCTGGCAAGGGTTTTAAAGAATGAACAAGAGTGCACATATCAAGAGGGGGCTGGATGTGTCAGGCGTGTGCAAAGGCATGGGGTATGTAAGGACGTGCTATTTTTAGAGCATCCAGTTGGGAAGCTTGGGTGTTGGGCAGCATAAGAAATAAGCTGGAGAGGAGGAGGAGGAAATGTCCTAAGTCCTTCTGGGTTTGGTAGAGCTTCATCCTGTGTCCAGCAGATCAGCCATTCTGGAAACCAGTGTGGAGCAGACTGGAGAAATCTTGGAGATTAGCTGGTGGCCTTTCGTGGAAGTCCTTGCAAAAGAGAATGATGCTTGAATTAAGAAAGTGGCAGAAAGGAAATAAAGAAGAGCTATTTAGGAGCAAAATCAGCCAGATTTAGTGTTCAGATGTTGGGGAGGCAAAGAAAAAGAAGCCATGTGATGCCACAGCTGCTCCTTCCAGCAGCCCTGTTAGGCAAGCAGGGTGGAATTTTTGTATTCTCATCTTACAGATGAGGAAGTCAAGGACAAGAGAGGTAAAATGAATGGTCAAGATTCACACTGAATTGGGAGCAGAGCCCTGAGCCAAATTTGTTCCTTAGTGGAGACAAAGAGAGCAGTGGCCCGAGAAAGGGAGAGATGGACATTCTCCAGGGAGACAGGCACACAAACAGCTCTGCTCTGCGATCTCCCTGTAGATATATGCAGTATGCTGCCGGACCCTGGCTACTGCTTGGCCTCCATCCCACGCTGGTGGTACAATAAAAAAACTAAGACCTGCTCCGAATTCATTTATGGAGGTTGCCAGGGGAACAACAACAACTTCCAAACTGAAGATATCTGCATGGTCACCTGCCAAACGCTCCGTAAGTCCCAGAGGTCCCAGTCTCCTGTGCTCACCAAGGCCACACTGGGAGGTCTGGGTGTTGGCTGGTCTATTCAAAGACCTGGGTGGGCCTGGGGATGACAGAACCAGCTCCAGTGCAGTGGTACAAGTAGAAGGATATGTTGGGAAAGAGAGGGTGGGGTGGGAGGGATTAGTCAAAGGGATATTGGCAAGTATAAGGTGAGTAGCGAGTGTAGAGAGCAAACAGAAGTGGTGGAGTATCCCAGACCAGGTCAGATGGAGGCCCAGTAAATTCAGCCCAGCTCTGAACACCGTTCACCAGCCAATCATTATAGGCCTTTACTTTGCACTAAACCTTGTTGCTAATTCTCTCCCTTTTAAAGGTTATTTCTTTTTTTTTTCCCATTTATTTATTTTATTGCATTTTAGGTTTTGGGGTACACGTGAAGAACATGCAAAATTGTTGCATAGGTACACATGTGGCAGTGTGATTTGCTGCCTTCCCCCCCCATCACCTACAACTGGCATTTCTCCCCTTGCTATCTCTCCCCAGCTCCCCACCCCCCACCGTCCCTCCCCTATTTCCCCCCAACTGACCCCAGTGTGTAGTGCTCCCCTCCCTGTGTCCATGTGTTCTCATTGTTCAACACCCGCCTATGAGTGAGAACATGCAGTGTTTGATCTTCTGCTCTTCTGTCAGTTTGCTGAGAATGATTTATGCAGCCATCAAAAACGATGAGTTTGGGTCCTTTGTAGGGACATGGATGAAGCTTAAAGGTTATTTCTAACCAAAGCAACCACATAGTTTATTGGCCAAACCAAGTCACTTTTGAGAATGTCTTAAACTGAGGTGCCATTAACTATTACACTGGGACAACAGGCATAAACTGGGACTCTACTGGGCAAACCAGAACCCATGATCATTCTAGGAGCCCCCCAAACTCACCTTCATTCCATTCCTGCCCAAAGATGTAAAATTGATCCCACCTCCTTTTCCTCATTAGCTGCAAGATTTGGTTCCTAATGTGGCCAGCGTCCAAGTATCTCACCCTTTATTCTTCTACTTCACAGGTTGGCCTAATTAGCATAAGGAGGAGCTTGAACAACCTCCAGGGCTTGGTTCATAATCCAGGCCTCTCTCCATGTGTGCCTGATTGGTGCTCCATATTGGCTTCCATGGGCCAAACCTTGGCTGTTCCAGAAACTAAATCCCAGGAATTGCTTACACCCTTTCTTTTAGCGTAGCTTCTCTTCAAACAAAATGCCCTTCCCTTTGACCACTTCTCAGTTTGAAACTCTATGTCTTCAACTTTCAGAACCCCTATGTATTCCTATGAAGGCTTCAGTTCCCTTAATAAAGTGCACTGTAGGGTCTAATCTCTCTGAGGCTGAATAATTCGTATCTGCAATATGCTGATATTCACATATACTCACATCTGTCTGTATGCAATTTTCAGAGAACAAGAAATCATTGCATTTTCTGGTAACACCGAAAAAGGGAGAGAGGAGTATGAAAATCCTGCAAATTGAGAATGCTGGTGGCATTATTACTTTAGCAAAATTGTTGTAAGATGCTTAAGAATGGAGCCAGTGCAGATCCAGATTTTGTGTGGTCTAAACCTGATAAATCAGGAGCTCCTTTAGAAACCAAGCACAGGCCAGGTGCGGTGGCTTATGCCTGTAATCCCAGCACTTTGGGAAGCTGAGGCCGGTGGATCACCTGAGGTTGGAAGTTTGAAACTAGCCTGATCAACGTGGAGAAACCCTGGCTCTACTGAAAATATTAAAAAAATTAGCCAGGTGTGGTAGTGCATGCCTATAATCCCAGCTACTCAGGAGACTGAGGCAGGAGAATTGCTTGAACCTGGGAGGTGGAGGTTGCAGTGAGTCGAGATTGTGCCATTGCACCTCAGCCTGGGCAACAAGAGTTATACTCTTGTCTCAAAAAAAGAAAAAAAAAAAAAAAAAAAGAAAAAGAAAGAAATAAACCAAACACGAATTAGTACAAAAGAGAATATTATTTCAAATGAGGAGGGAAATTGCAATCAACTGCAAATTTTTAAAGGCTGACAAACACAAAAAATTGCACAAAACCCACAAATATTAATAAATCATTGTTTACATTTATGATGTCAATTCTGTAAAGCACAATTTCCGTGGAGAGAATGGAAAGATAACGAAGTCTTTTATTTAATGTGGCGATCAAAATATGATTATATTTTATTTTTTATTATAGGTGAGTTGCATAATACATACCTGAATGCTTGACGCCATGCTTGAGGTCTGTAGTTCTGTTACAGGTTTGTGTCCAGAAACACAGGAATTTTAATAAATTATCTTTTGTACAATTCCATCAAAAAAAGAAAAAAATGCATGGTATATTTAAAATTGTACATATTGATGTATCAAGTATATGGTTACTAGAAAATAACTTCTGAACAGCCTTCCATAAGAACTGATTTTTTTTTTTTCTCTTTAAAATTTGATGTATCTGGCTGGGCGTGGTAGCTCATGCCTGTAAGAGAAAACTAAAGGCAGAATGATCATTTATAATATTACTAAATTGGGCCAGGCACAGTGGCTCACACCTGTAATCCCAGCACTTTGGGAGGCCAAGGTGGGTGGATCAGCTGAGGTAGGAGTTCAAGACCAGCCCGGCCAACATGGTGAAACCCTATCTCTACTAAAAATACAAGAAATTAGCCAGTGTAGTGGTGTGCACCTGTAGTGCCCGCTACTGGGGAGGCTGAGACATGAGAATCACTTCAACCTGGGAGGTGGAGGTTGCAGTGAGCCAAGATCATTCCGTTGCGTTTCAGCCTGGACAGTGGAGTGAGACTCCACCTCAAGAAAAAAAAAATTGATGTATCTGATATTTGAAAGAATGCTCCACAGGCTTGTTTTCCTGGTTCCATACATTTCAAAACTTGCTTCTCCACTATCATCCGTATCCATCTTGGGCTAAGAACATTCATTTTACAACGCATCCTCTAGTTGCATAACTTAGTGTTAAATGTCAAGGGAATTGGCCCAGTAGACAACGGGAGTATTATTTGCTGCTGCTCCTACACCAGGACGGCTAGCAGCAACTTCCTATACATAGAAATGACAGCAGACAACCTAAATATATTC